GTCTTCACAATTACTTGTTATGCCTCAGAGAGCTGGACGATGACTATGGATGATAGGAGAATTGATGTCTTCAAGTTGTGGTGCTGGAGAAGAGTCTTGAACATACCATGGACTGACAAGAAAACAAATAGGACTGTCCTGGAGAGGGTGAAATCAAGTTTCTCCTTGGAGGGCAGGATTTTGAAGCTCTATCTCACACACTTTGGGCATGTTTCCAGGCTGGACCAGTCCTTGGAGAAAGACATCATGCTTGGAACAGTGGAGGGACACCGCAGGAGAGGAAGACCCTGGATGAGATGGATTGACATAGTTCCTAGGATACTGGGGGTGAGTGTGTCAGAAACAGTGAGACTGGCTCAGGACAGAGCAGGGTTCAGAGAGATGTCGTACATAGCTTATGTATAAGGATGTGACTTGATTAAAGACAGGACTTGAGTAAGGCCAGGACTCAGGTTTGAGTGAAACTTGAGTAATGGCCATACTTAGTAAAGGCAGGACTTGAGTAAAGATGAGACGGGAGTAAAGGCGAGACTTGGGTAAAAAAAGTGAGGACCAGACATGAGTAAAGGCAGGGCTGGGGTAAGGGTGATTTTAGGAAGGATGGAGGCTGAGTACGAGTGAGACTTGAATGAGCATCGTTGTAAACAGGTGAACAAAGGTCCCAAGATGTGCCAGCCTCAGGTACAGAGCTCACGGTCCTATTACCTTCTACGTGAGCTCCCCCTGCCAAACTGAGATGATTCTTATTGAAAAGGAACCGATTATTCCTAAACTGGAAGAGGAGGTTGCCCGGAAGAAAAAGATAACCCACAAGAAACTGAAGAAACAAAACCTCATGGTTCAGGGGTAAATAATTCTGCATCAAATAAAATTCAAGTTGTAATTGTGTGTGCCGTCAAGTCACCCGAGACTCACAGCAACCCTATGTTCAATAACACTGAACCCTGCTCTGTCCTGAGCCAGTCTCACTGACTCCAACACACCAACCTCCATTGTCCTAGTTACTGTATCAATCCATTTCATCTTCCTCTCCTGAGCTGTCCCTCCACCCTTCTGAGCATGTTGTCCTTCTCCAAGGATCAGTCCTCCTGCCAACATGCCCAAAGCATGTGAGATAGAGCTTCAAAATCCTAGCCTCCAAGGAGAAACTTGGTTTCACCCTCTCTAAGACAGACTTATTTGTTTTCTTGGTGGTCCATGGTATGTTCAAGACTTTTCTGGCACCACAACTCAAAGGCATCAATTCTTCTATCATTCTTAGTCATTACCCAGCTCTCTGATGCAGAACAAATAATTGCAAAGACCATGGACTGGATCAGGCGCACCCTAGTCTCTAGACTGACATCATTCGAGTAACACTTATTTTTAAAAAAAGAAGTGTGACCCGCATCTAATGTACATGCCGCTCTGGCAAGACTCTCACTTGCTCTGTCCTGCATCTGGCTTATCATCTGACTTCTGCTTATTCAAACGTGAATAGTGGACTGACCTTTAATTTTGAGTTTTGCCAGCTTCTAAGGCCCTATGAGCCACAATCGGTCATCTGACTGGCCAACTGTAGTATCATCAGCCCCTGCGTGTTGCGTCAGGAGAAGCCTCCAGTTTGCCTTCTGACCGATGGATTAGGGACTTGCCAGTCAACACAACCATGTGAGCCATTCATTTCCTTGCATCAAATCTCTCTTTTCTATCTTAATGTGTGTATTTCAATAGTTTTGCCATCTCCAGGGAAGCCAGTCTAAGACAGGAATGGAAGCGCACTCTAAGGAAAGCAGAGAGAGGAAAGCAGCAAGGGAGAAGAGAGAGAATCTGTCATCTGTGTCTTTTTCTGGGAGGTGCTGGGCTGAGATGGGATCGCAGCGGCCTCACGAGGCCTCAGCTGTCTGAACACTTGTCCCTTCAAGTCATCAGCCAGCGTGACTTCAGAGAAAGGACCCTGACCCTTGACTCAGGCCGACCAGGTTATGCTCGCTCCACCGCCCACTGCTATAACCCCAGTGAAGGTATTGCTTTCTCTGAGCCTCAGTTTCCACTTCTGAGCCATTTGTGACACAGCAGAATGTTGGGGTGAAGTAGTGCACATGCCTCAGGGATTGGACATGGCAGCTTTCAACCCCTTCCTATCAGGACTTTGGGGTTGTTGAAGGCAACTTAGAGAGATGCTGGGAAGAATCCCAGGCAAAACTCTCACTTGTTGTGTGTTCTTGGGTAACATGCTTGCCCTCTCTGAACCCCACTTTCATAATCTAGGTAATGGGCTGATAGAGTGAGATCCAGGAAACACAATGGCTGAATTAGACTCAGCAGAGCCGCCAGGCTGGGAACTCAGGGGTCAGGCTCAGGCCCAGAGAGGTGAATTTGGGCTCCAGGTCTCACACACCTTCATGCCTGCCTCACTCATGTCTCCAAGCTGTTCGCTCACATCATGCTTCCCCGACTTGGCCCTTTCTAGTCCATTGCTTTGAGCAGGAGCAGGAGGCCAGGTGAGAGGGTCACCAGTACCCCTTGCAGCTATCCAGCCACCTCCCACTCCCTGAAGGCAGGAACACTTGGTCTGCCTTCCAATCCAGACTCTCAGGTGCTGAGTGACCTTGAGTCAGTCCCTTAACCTCTTTGAGCCTCAGTTTCCACATCTATAAAATGGGGTCCATTTCCTCTGACTTCTTCATGAGGAGCCTGTGAACATCAAACAAATCGTCTCCATCCATCATCCTACTCCTGTTTGGCAGGTGAGGAGGCAAGGTGAGGAGGGCTGAAGTCCTGTGCGCTGAGCAGCTGACTGTGAAATGGGGTAGCTCGTGGGTGGGTGGCAGAGCTTCCCCTGGGAATCATTACTTGGGGGGACCTAGTCCAGAGGGTGAGAAGGAGTGGGACTCTTTCTGTGAGCATTTACTATGTCCCAGGTGGAAGTTTCTACTTGTCGATCCTGGAGACTTCCAGATAAAGCAGAGACTCAGAGGGGTGCAGTGACTCGCCCCAGGCCGTACAGCGGGGTGCGTTCGTGTGATTCTGGAGGGATGGGTGTCCCCTCCACTCTGTGCTCACTTCAGGATACTCTCATTCCTACGGGTGCAACCAGGGTCAGGTCACAGCACAGGAAAACAGCTGACAGAGGCCAGGCTGTCAGGAGGAAGGCCCAGGCTGGACACAGAACAGTTAACAATCCCATGCCTCCCTGACCACCATTGCTGGCCGCCAACAGAGCTGTTTTCTAGAATATTCAGTCTTGGACATGCCCCCTCCCACCTGACTTTGCTGTCTATCCTGTGCCTTCAGTCAGTACATTGTGTCCAGCAGGGGCAGCCACACCTTGCTACTTCGTCCTCCCACAACTGTCTTGTGAGGTAGGTGCTTTTCTTCCAACCATTTTACACAGGTGAGGGCAGGGCGTGGACGAGCAGACACCCAGGCAAATGCACCAGCAGCCTGGCTGGCGGCCTTCCCTCCGTGTGGGCACAATGCACGCTGGCAGCTTCCAGTCCCACCCACGCCCCAGCAGGGCTCCATGCACAATGGTTTGCACAATTCACCAGGGAGTCCCTGGCCCAAGGCCGCACAGCTGGTGTGTGTCTGGCCCTGCGGGGCCCTGGCCACCCCCAGCCCGGGGCAGGGAGCCGGCAGATGTCAGGCCTGGCCTTGTACCAGCCTATCTTGCTGGGTCCCTGCTTGCCGTCAGCAGCCTCCAGGATGTGTGGCCTCCAGCAGCTGGGCTCCCATGGGGCATGAAGTTATCCCTACCTTTCCCCCAACCTGGGAAAGGTCCCCACAGATCAGGGGAGGACTGCCCCTGGGAGGAGAGCCATGGACAGAGTGGCCTTTGTCTCAGCAGGCCATGTCTGTGGGCCGGCGGTGCCCACACTCAGGGGACACCCCCCCTCCCCACCACCAGTTCCTCTGTGGCCTCTTCCCAGCTCGCTCTCCTCCTGTCCCCCAGGACCCACTGTCCCCTCTTCCTGAGGTTCCTCTCCATTCCTCACCCCAAGCGAGGCGCAGGGGGTGCCGATCCTAGTTCCTTTTCAGGCATCTTAGCTTCCCTGTCTTCTGCCTGCTCCCTCTTCCAGTGGACCCTTCTCGGCTCAGGGGGTCCGGCTGGCTCTCCTTGCCTATTATCTGGAACCTGCCATGACCCCTCCCTTGACCAATGTGTGGTCAGTCCTGCCTTCCCAGCTGTGGGGTTCCAGAAAAGTGACCCCAGCCCCCCGCAACCTCGTCAACCCATGTTGGAACTGGAGCTGCCAGAGTCCTCAGCGGCGGAGTGTGCCAATCTCTGAAGAAGCACCAGTGAGGGAGAGCAGCTGTCAGAGCCAGGATCTAGGCTTCTGCTTCTACACTCAGCAACCACGTTTATGCGCTACCTCCAGGGTCCAAAGCATAGATTTCCATCAAGGTGCTTCCTGTGGGCCATGGACCTGGTTATTGGCCAGTCCCCCCCACCCCCACCCTGTCCCACTCTGCTTTAGTGTCACTCTTGGGAACAAAGTCCTTAAGGATGCCTCAAATCTGTTGCTCCAGGATTCAGCCAGGTAACAGGGGTGAGAGGGAGCTCTGGTGGCCCAGTGGCAAGAAGCTGCACTGCAATCCTGAAGGCACATAGTTCGAGGCCACCAGCTGCTCTGTGGGAGAAGGATGGCAGTCTCCTCCCATGCGATTAACTGCCTCTGAAAACCCACTGGAGGGTCAGCTATGGGTCGGTTCTGACACGACAGGACAGACACAAAAACAACAGGTGTGAGAATGATTGGGACACCCAACAGAGGGACCTGGATATGGGTGTGGAGCCCTGCCTGAGGGGCCACAGTCACCTTGAATGGCAGATTTCAAATATAAGCCACATGACACATGTGAAATTGCCTCCAAGTGTCCCACAGGCCCCCTACCCCATGAGGCTGTGGCCACTGCTGGGGATGGCAGGCACGGGCCTCGCTCTGCCGCTCCGAGGAGAGGCTCCAACTCACACATTAACACTAATGACTTAGGCCAGGGCCAGTGGGCAGTCTTACCTTCCTCGCAGCTCGGCCCCGAGTGCCCGGGGCAGCATCTCCACTCTCGGGTGGTCACTGTCTTGTATATCACCTTGTAAGTGGGTCTCACCACCGTTCGGTAGCTGAAAGAGTATCCAGGCGGCTTGGCTCAGACAGGCGCCATCTGCCATCTCTCCACAAGCAAGCAACCCACTCGGGCCCCTTTGGAAGCCTCTCTTCTCCCGAACCCTGGGGTTCAGCTCTCTTATGTGTCTTTGTTAGGAGAGGTTATTCCATGGAGAATGACACAATGCTTGCACGCTAGGAAAGGTGGAGGGTTGGCAAAAGAGAGGAAGACCCTCAACTAGAAAGACTGACACAGTGACTGCAGCAATGGGCTCGTGTGTCAGAGATGATGAGGACGGCGCAGGACAGGGCAGGGCTCAGGTCTGTTGTTCACAGGATTGCTATGCCTCATATTCAACTCGGTGGCACACAGTAACTGTCTAGGTGGGAGGATTTGAAGACTGGACAGGAAGCCCCCACAAACCGGTGCTCATGGTGGACACTCAGAAGTGTAAGTGGGCAGGGGTGTCTTAAGAGTACATGGAAGGGGCTGGCATAAGCACAGAGAGCCACTGCCCCCCGCCCCACCTGCCCCCTAGTATCCCTATCACCCAGCCTTTGCACAGCAGTACCTTCCCCACCACAGCCTCACCTGCTCCCCGGGCAGCTCATGGGCCAGGGACAGTTCTGCAGCACTCGCTGAAGGTAGGTACCATTCTGTACATGGCATGAGACGGTGCGGGTCACCACATATGAGCACCAGTTCCTGAAACAGATCCAATGTGGCGCTCAAGCTCTGTCAAGGACCTGGGGGTGGGCACGGGCAGGCAAGGAGCAGAGAGGCCCTGAAGTTCCTACAGCCCAGATTCCTTTGGGCTCCCGGTGGCATTTCTGTGCTGCCTGTGGCTAAGGGGTGAATGCCATGGTCCTGGAGGCCCAGAATGCACCGATTTAGGTCACTGTCTTTTCTATCACTTGCTACGCATCTGAGAGTTGGACAATGAATCAAGAGGACAGAACTGATGCCTTTGAACTGTGGTGCTGGAGAAAAATGATCAATATCCCATAGACTTCCCAAAAGAACAAACAGATACATCTTAGAAAAAGTGCAGCCAGGGTGCTCCTTTGAGGCAAGGACGGTGGAGCTTCGTCTCTGGGTATGTTGCTAGGAGAGGTTCTGCACATACACTGAAAGGGTATGGAGGCAGGATGCATCCCCGATGCACTCCCTTCCTGATTCTGAACCACGCAATGTTTCCCTGCTCTGTTCTGAGGGCTGCTTTCTGGTTCAAGTATAGGTTTCGCATAAGCACAATCAAGTGCTTATGATGTTCCTTGGAAAGGGACGTCATGCTTGCAAAGATCAGCAGAAGAGAGGAAGACCCTCAACCAGATGGATTGACACAGTGACTGCGGCAATGGGCTCAAGTGGGTCAGAGATGATGACGATGGCACAGGGCCTGTGAACAGGGTTCAGGTTTGTCTGCTTCAGGTCTGATTCAATGGCACATAACAGAACAGAGTGGGTGGAGGGAGCCCCGGTGGGAATCGTCCGTAGGGAGATGCGTTGCCAACCCAAAGGACGTGCCTCTTTGGTGGTTCAAATCCATCAGGAGCTCCGTAGGGAAAAATGGGCAATCTTCTCTCCTGAAGACCAGCTGGAGGGTCAGCTAGGAGTCAGTTCTGACTCGATGGCAATGAGTGAGGGGGATGGCGGGGCTGAGGACTGTCAGGAGGTCTTGATGAGTGAGCCACAGGGGACAAGACGTCTCCTTTCCAACCCTCCTGTTCCACACCTGGATGACAGCAGCAGCCCTTTGTCCAATGTCTTCAAACGTTCCACTAACTGGATTGTCATAAAATGGAAACCTGGCCATGCCCATCCCGGTCGCCGGGGCTCAGCCCTCTGGAACCCCACTCCTGCTTTAAGAACCACTATTTCCAGATCTTCGCTGGCCTGGGGTGCTCTTCCTCTGATTCTCCACCTGGCCCCAGTAAAACTGCTCTGCAGGGTTTTCAAGTTGATTTTAACAGGTTTTCAAGGGTTTCATAACAGATTGCCAGGCCTTTCTTCCGTGTGCTCCTAGTTAGGTACCAAGTGCTAATTGTTCAGTTAGTAGTAGTCAAGGCTTAACCATTTATGCCACCAATGAACTTCTTTAATCAGCATTCTTGACCTTCAAAGCTTCCCCTTTCCTCTGAGTCCTTTCCCACTCGATACTCCACTGCCCTGGATCCCACTCAGGGTCATGTCTGTCCCCCTCTCAAGCATCTCTGTGATCTCTCGGTGTGACCAATTGGGATGTGTCATCAGGGTCACAAATGTGGAAGACTGACTTCGCCAACGGCCAACTCATAATCCTGCTGCATATACTAAGCACCGCTCTGTGTTACAGGTATTTACAATGCAGGTGAGGCAGGAAGGCTTTCCTGCCCCATTTCACAGAGGAGAAACTGAGGCTCAGGAGGTGAAGACAAGTCACAGAGCCAGAGCGTGGCACAGCTGCCATGTGGACAGAGGAACGTGGAAGGCCTAGCCTGGCTTCTGGCCTCACCTCAGGGTGCTCCGTGGCCCTGGGAAGGCTGTGTGATCTGGGAACCAGCTGACCCTGGGGCTGAGGCCACAAAGGAAATGCAGCTGGGTGTGGGGGGCCTCAGGCTGAAGAGGGTCACCCGACACCTTCCCATGATCCCCAGCCCTGACAGAAAGCACAGGGCCCATGACCCTGTGTCCGGATGAGGGCCGCTGAGCACCTGGAATGTCAGCTGCCTCGGGGGTGCCCACCCTGACCAGGCTCCCACTCATTGCTGCCCTGCCCACAGTCTGTCCCTGAGGAGCAAGTCCTCAGCTGGGACCCACGAGAAGTCCTTGGATCTGTGTCTGTCAAAGGTGGTGGGAAGGTAGACAAAGTGCCAGCTGGGTGCTGCCCAAGGATGTGGCTGTCCCCATGGCAGAGGGGCAGGGGTTTGCCGCGGCTTTATCAGCAACTGTACAAAAGTAGAGGCAGCCCAGATGGAACGAGGACAGCCACGCTTGGCTAACTGGATGCCCAGGGTCTCTGCATGCGGAATCTCGAGCCAATCCCCATAACTGGTGAAGCAGGAACGATTTTAAATGCTGTTCTAAAAAGACAGCGAAAGCCTGTCAAAGAGTGACTTAAACAAGATGCACTTTTTGGAAGAAAATCATTAGACTTTTCTTCTTAGTCTAAGTGTGGAGCACTAACACCAGCATATCACACTGGCCGCTAGGTGCCAGGCTCAAAGCTTTCCGTGCATTTACACATTTGAATTCTCATCTGCTATGGTGGCCACTTTACAGATGGGAAAACTGAGGCTTGGAGGGCCTGCCCAGGCTTCCCCCCTACCCTGTGATGAGCATTCTTGGAGCTCTTAACCTCAGGCTGGAGGTTTTTCCTTGTAATGAACAGGTGAGAATTTTTTAAGTTTAATAAAGAATTTTTCAAAAGCCCTCGCCCTCCAGGTCTCTACAGCTGTAGTTCTGAACTTGCTGGGATTTTGTTTGGGATTGGAAATTGAGGTGAGGTGGAGTTCATCCCCAGAAAGAGCACAAAACCTGGTGCCCAAGTTGAGGGGGCCCCCAAAACCTTGGGGGAAGCCTTGGGAACAAAAGAAGGATTGAGGGTTGGAGAGAGGAGCGGCCTGGACAGTGGAAAGCTCTGGATAAGAGGGACAGTTCCTGGGCATGAACATATATTGTGTGCCACTGAAGAGACGTACATAAACATGCACGCAGCACATATATACAGCATACATAGCACGTTGGGAAAATGCACATAAAAATATGCACTGACACACATGTGCACACACAGATCTACAGAGGCATACAGACGTGTCCACAGCAAGGCACATCCGGCAGGACAGGCAGCCAGAGAAATGCCCACCGTCTTCTCTGTACTCGTGATTCATATGTGCATACACGCGGTCAGAGGCCCTCTCTCCTGGCACAAACAGGCTAACACAAAGAGCCATACAGCCCACACCTAATATATTGCTGCCTGCTCTGGAGCTCACCACATACCCGGGCTCCGCATCACCCTCTCCCCGACTCCTGCCTGCTTGGGTCTGCCTGCTGATCACCTTCCTCCTGCACCACAGGGCCTTTGCACATGAGGCCACTTCCTCCTGAAAACCCCCACTTCCTTGCTCCAGGCAAGCCCTACTCATCCCATGAGGCCCAGATGAGGTGAGGTGCACCATGTGCCCTCCCAGCCACCCCACCAACACAGTTCGGAGCCTCTTTTATAGCCCATGGGGACCGAGCAGTCTGGGGGTGGCTTGAAGGTCCTTAGGGGTGTTTGCTGAATGACTGGATGAAGAAGAAGAGAGAAGAGTTGATGGATTGAGGTTTCCAGAGGTGGGTGCAGCCCCCAGAAACCCCACCTTCATCTCTGATGTCCCTGGGTGCTTTCTTTTCTGGGATGTGTGGTGAGTCCGTCTGGGGCCCTACTGAGGAGGGGGCCTCCTGTGGGATAAAGGAGGGCCAGGGGCTGGAGGGGGCAGGCTGCACCCCTGGGTGGCCACTGTCCACTCTTTACCTCCTGGGCTCCCCAAATGCTGGGGACAGGAGGAGGGGGAAACAGGCCAGACCAGCCTCCACCCCCTGCCACAAGGGGCCCAGGGGACTTTGCCTCTGCAGGGCCCAGGGCTGTGATCCGGAACAGTGATAGGGGCTAATTGCAGGAGGCAGCCAAGCCGGCCAGGGGCCAAGGGGCCGTGATGAAAAGGACAGGAAAGAAAGGAGGTGTTCAAGAGGGGGCGGGGAGGCGAGAGCAGAACCCTCCCCTTGAGGCCACACGCCAGTCCTGGCTCTGCTGCTTCCTAACTCGGTGACCTTGGCCATGGCCCCGACCTTCTCTGAGCCTTGCTTTGTCCATCTGTTAGTGGGGACAGCAGAATCCCTTCTGACAGGGCAGTTTTCTTGGAAAGAGCTTGGTGCAGCCCTAGGAATGGCCACTCATTCTAGCGATAGTTTGAACACAGGTCTGACTCTCTTAGGATGAGGGACACCTACACGCTACCTTCCCTGTGTGACAATGAGTGTGAGGCTCTGTATTTTTACAGAGGGGTACCTGAGTGATGTAAAATAGTTAATACCCTTGGCTGCTAACTGAAGGGTTGGCAGTTCAAATCCACCCAGGGACACCTCGGAAGAAAGGCCTGGCAATCTTTTCTCAAAACAATCTGCTACTGAAAACCCAATGGGACACAACTCTACCCTGACACACATGAGGTCATCATGAGTTGGGGTTGACTAGGTGGCAACTGGTGGCGGAAGTGCGTGAAGTAGGGAAACTAAGGCTCCAAGAAGTCACCTGACTAGGTCACTCAATGGGCAAAGAGCTGAGATGTGAGCCACATGAAGAGTTGGTGATGTGGTTTGTCTTGTAGATATCCATTGTCTTCAGCCTATGATTCGCCTAAAGGAAGCTGGTGCTGAGGCGGGCCAGGACTCTGGGGATGAGTTGAACCCCAGAGGCCCAATGTGGAGATGGGGAGCCAGCAGAAACCACAATTCAGGTTGGGGCAGAGCTTGGAGGGGCAGGAAGCGGCCCCACAGGGAACTCGGGGAGCTGCAGGGCAGGAACGAGCCAAGGTGGGAGCCCCAGTTCTGGGGTCCTAAAGTCTCACCACATTCCTGGGGCTGGGGGCGGCCCCTTGGATGTCTTCCCGAGCCTCCCCCTCCCCAGGCACAAAGGCTCTTTTCTGTCTTGGGTCCCTTGGCTGCCAAGGGGCGCCTGGGGCACTGGGCTGCGGGTGGAGGGAGGGTTGATGGGGCAAGAAGTCCCCGTGCTGTCTCCAACAGGCAGGCCTGGGGCCCGAAGGGACATCTTGGCAAAGGAGCCTGCAGACTCCTTCTATTGGGGTTCCTCCCCCCACTGACTGCTGACAATAGAGGAACCAAGATAAGGGTTCTGTGTGAATGGCCCCATGTGAAGAATAGGCCTGGGGAGTAGGATCACCATTCCCATTTGGCAGAGACAAAAACTGAGGCTGAGGGCTACGAAGTGACCTGCCTGAAGTCACACATTGAAGGAACAACAGTTAGGAAGAAAACCCTGTTCTCCTTTAGGCCAGAAGTCCTAACCCCTGACTGTGGCTTGCAAACCTCTCTATCAAACTAGTCCCAGCTCCCTAAGCACTCTCTCTTATATAGGATAAAAAGACAGTGGATCTGGGAATAAGCCAGCCTAGATTTAGGTTCCTCTTGTCTCGCCTGGTCTCAGTCTCTTCATCTGTAAAATGGGGCAACAGCTATAACCATGGCTTCTGTGATGCTAAGCTCTCTGACCCCCTCCCATAAGCAGATAGGGTGATCACTCTCAATAGCCAGCAGGCATCTGCCCACAGCCCCTGCCCTGCTGTCTCCTCCCACTCAGGAAATGGCCAGGCTTGGAGGTCTTGCCTTGCACTGGATGGTGGGTAGTCAAACCCTAAGCTCTGGGAATGTCTAATTAATTCTCCATCACCTTAGATTTTTGGATTCAGGGCTCACATTCATATTGGACAGGTCACATCCCCTCCCTGAGGCCCTGCTTCATGGAAGCATAAGACTGCATGCCTCTGTGGGGGCTGGGAAGGTTCTGGAAGTGACAGCTGCAGGTTCGAGCCCAGCCCCAGTCTGCTGTGGTCAGTACATATCGGAGTGTGGACTGTGACATCTCCGGCCACTCCATCTGTACCTTCAACAGCTGCTCTTCTGGCCTCCGATGCCTGAGTCAGCCTCTGTTACCTGCTCCTGTTAGGCTTGGAGGGGGGCAGTGCGGAGAACAGGGGGGAGGGGCTGGCCGCTGATTCCTGGGGGGAAAGGACTTTCTTTCTGAAAAGCATTAAAGAATTGAGGCTGTAGGAGGCTGGACAGGCCTTTGAATGAGATGAAAAGCCTGAAGAGGCCTGGCCACTCGGCATTGTCTGGCTTGGACAACGGCAGAGAGGGGACCCCAGCCGAGATGGAGGCTGCAGCCAGGACCCGGACAGAGCAGGCTCCAGGCAATCAGTGAGGTCACAAGAACCCTAGTTCTTCCATCAGTTGGCCCATGAATCTACAAGGTGGTGTTTCTTATGCCAGCCTCAGCTTGCTCATCTGTGAAATGGGGGCCATGCGCTCTACTCCATTCAGTCCTCGAAGCGTTGATCTGATATCCTTCCCAGCTTCTGGCTCCCAGTTCCTGGGAGATCCAGGAAAGATTCTGTTTCTGTCCAAAATGCCAGCTCCCAGGGGGCCACCAGTGACCCGCGGAGGCTCCACCCCGTCTTTCCCTCGAGAGAAATAAATAGCCAAGGACTAAAAAAAGCCGGGGCAGGGAGAGGGGAGGGGGACCCCATGGGGTGTCCTTGGCCTTTTCTATGTACAAGGAAGGGGCACAACGAAAAAAAGTCGTGGGGAGCTTGTCCGTATTGAGGCCTTTTCCTCTCTTCTGGGGCGCTGGGGGCTTGTGAAATGGCAGAGAGGGGGTGAGGATGGCTCAGGGGCTCCGGACACATGATGTGGCGGAACCCCGCACTCCCGGGAGCCTGGGCCGGATAGCGGGGCCATCGATCGTCCTTGCCCCCTTGGCCTCGAGCTGGAGGATCGGTGTCCAGTGCTGGGTTTGCCCTGAGTTTGGAGGGTGTCCGGAGTCCGGGGGAATGGACGGGGTCCCAGTCCTTACCTGCGTCCCGAGAACGGGGGTCCCCCGACGCTCCACGCGGCGCTGCCCCCCAGGAGCAGGAGGCCGAAGCAGAGCAGCGCCCAAGCCCGCGGGCCGCCCATGCTG